CCCCAATTTAACTTCAGTTAAGTTTGATTTAAATTTTTGGTTAAATTTCTGTCCCCCCCAATTTAAACTCATTTTTGTCTCCCACATTTCATTGCTGTTCCTGCAGCTCAATTTCCTTTTCCTCCCAATTTAAATTCATTTCTGCCCCACCCTAATTAAAGCTCATCTCCCCAACTTAATTAGTTCCCCCTTAATTTAAATCCATTTTGGTTCATCTGAATTTAAATTAATTTTCTTAAATTTAATCAATTTTTGCCCCCCAATTTAATTAATCCTCTCCCAATTTAAATTCATTTTTGCCCCCAATTTAATTAATTTTCTCCCAATTTAATTCCATTTTATCCTCCAATTTAAATTCATTTCCCCTAATTTAAATTAATTCCCCCAATTTAATTAATGCCCTCTCATTTAAGTTCTGCCCCAAGTTTATTCCCCCCCAATTTAAAATAGTTTTTGCCTCTCAATGTAATTAATTCTCTTAATTTAAAGTAATTTCTACCCCCAATTTAAATTAATGTCTGTCCACCAATTTAATTAATTTTTTCACTTTAAATTAATTTCTGCCTCTCAATTCAATTAATTCCCTCAATTTAAATTAATTCCTGCCCCCAAATTAAATTTATTCCCCAAATTCAAATTAATTTTTGTCCCCCACTTTAATTAACTCAACCCCCCCGGTCCGTCCCTTTGTAATTTTTCTCTTTTCTTTCTGTTTTTATTTATTTTTTTATTTTTTTATTTTTTATTTTTTATTTTTTATTTTTTATTTTTTATTTTTTGTTTTTTATTTTCTCCCCGGTCCCCCCCGTGCCCCTCCCCCATCTCCAGTCATCGTCATCACCCTTAGCCCCGCCCCCGCTCCGTCCCAGCGAGCAGGTACCGCCCCTTAGCCCCGCCCCCGTGCCTCAGTTTCCCTTTGGCGCACCTTGACCCCTCCCCTTTTAACCCCGCCCCCGTGCCTCAGTTTCTCTTTGGTGCAACTCGATCCCTCCCCTTTAAGCCCCTCCCCTGTGCCTCAGTTTCCCCTTTGGCGCAGCTTGACCCCTCCCCCTTTATCCCCGCCCCCGTGCCTCAGTTTCCCTTTGGCGCAGCTTGACCCCTCCTCATTTAATCCCTCCCTCTCCGTGCCTCAGTTTCCCCTTTGGCGCAGCTCGACCCCTCCCCCTTTAGCCCCTCCCCCGTGCCTTAGTTTCCCCGTTGGCTCAGCTTGACCCCTCCCCTTTTAACCCCTCCTCCCCCGTGCCTCAGTTTCCCCCGTGGCAGCTCGACCCCTCCTCATTTAACCTGCCCCTCTCCGTGCCTCAGTTTCCCTTTGGCGCAGCTCGACCCCTCCCCTTTTAACCCCTCCCTCTCCATGCCTCAGTTTCCCCTTTGGCACAGCTTGACCCCTCCCCTTTTAACCCCTCCCCCGCCGTGCCTCAGTTTCCCCCGTGGCAGCTCGACCCCTCCTCATTTAATCCCTCCCTCTCCGTGCCTCAGTCTCCCCTTTGATGCAGCTTGACCCCTCCCCTTTTAACCCCTCCTCTTGTGCCTCAGTTTCCCTTTGGCGCAGCTTGACCCCTCCCCTTTTAACCCCCGTGCCTCAGTTTCCCCTTTGATGCAGCTTGACCCCTCCCCTTTTAACCCCTCCCCCTCCGTGCCTCAGTTTCCCCCGTGGCAGCTCGACCCCTCCTCATTTAACCTGCCCCATTCCGTGCCTCAGTTTCCCTTTGGCACAGCTTGACCCCTCCCCCTTTAGCCCCTCCCCCGTGCCTCAGTTTCCCCTTTGGCACAGCTTGACCCCTCCCCTTTTAACCCCTCC